GTTCACCAACACTGCTTTCACTTGGTTTCAGTTGCATACTCCGGAGTTATTCTGCCATTTCATATCGACACACTGGCTGAAGTGGACGTAACTAACCTTGGGTCGCGCGATGAAGCTACCAATCAGGAAACTGCAGTGAAGGGACCGACGAAAATGTCAACCGGCCTCGGCCTCGTCGTACCTACCTTGAACAGTTTCAGGAATACGGTGGCAATCCACTTCATGGAGTCGAAGCGGAAACTATCCTCTCAATTCTGTTTGCTGCCCAACAAGTAGATGCCAGAGTGGATAAGTGCAGCATATCCACACATACAACCTGCACCTTATAGCGCCACTTCATTAAGACACTTGACATGCTAATCAGAGAGTATTCTTAAGGTAGTGGACGTTTTCAACAAACTTTAAGTCCTTATCGTACCTTTCTTGAGTCGCTTTTCGGCGAGACGATACTACATGTCGCCTCTTTTAGAGCGAAATGTTCGCCTCATTGGGTAAGCCGCAAGACGGCCCACCCGCAATTAAATACACCTCTTAGGAAATAGGAAACGTTGGCACTCAGCGAGTACATGTTGATAGTGAGAGGAAGGGCAGCGGAGGGGTTATACATAACTATCAGTCATGGTTGAGCTGACTCTTCAGGTTTGGAATGGATAACAGTTCTTAGATTGAAAGGCCACTTTTTTGATTTTTTGCGCACTCTAATGCAGAAAGGAATGCTTTCATTTTTAAGGTATCCAGGACACAGGTGGGATCGTTAAGAAAGCTGAAAAAGCCATTTTTTCGCCCCTCCATTTTCCAGCTTGTTCTATCGAGCTTATAAGGAAGTGATCAAGCTGGTGTCATCCAACGGGTCTTTCGTATAACTGTTGCCAACTGATTTCGCCAACTATTGGTAGCATTTCCGGTAGAAAAATGCGTTAGATCCACAGAAATGCTCAATCCCTTGCCATATTTGTTAACAATAAGATCAATTTGAGATTGGGATTGCGGACCAGTTTCGAACTTATGGTTTCTTTGTAGGGTCAACCTTGTCACTCTGATTTATAATGATTGCGTGTTGCAGAAAGAGCAGTGTCAAAATTCTACTCGTTATTATTGTACTAGTGGAAGCTTCGATGGGAATTGATCCCTGCAGTCCATGGGTGGTGAACTTCCAGACGTTGAAATGTTACAGGGTTTGTTGTGTTCTAATTAATCGTTTTCGAAAGGTCGAAAGGCTGAAATCATTTGATGACTCTGATAAGGAGAGTTACTCCATCGAATGTGGCGTGTAGCGCTCCTGTAATCGACCCTTCTTGCACCGAAACGTCAGATTAATAAACATTGTTGCAATCTCGGTTTAACAGCTCAAAAGCAAACCCCAGACCCTTCTTGCTTTTTTTCTTGATTTCCCCGAGGGGCACTCACGGTCTCACGTCCAAGAGTCTTCGGATTCATGTGAGGCTTCTCTTCCCTGTTTTTTTTTCGAGTAAGATTCACTTTCCATTGTCCCCTATGCCTATTCAACTTTCCGACCTTCTGATAAGCATTTACCAAGGAAAAACGGAGAGGAAAAAGGGGGACGGCGGAGTAAAGAGGAATAAAATAAAAAATCGAATAAAACGACTGACTCGAACCCCCACCAACTCCTGCCATCCACAGTATGACTTGAAAAGGCGTGAGAAATTTGGACCTTGAGACTATGTCGCGTCTGTCTTCTTTCCTGAGGCTGTCAATACTCTCTCATTCCCCCCTTGATGTTGTTCGATTCGGATAGGATCTCAACACTGGTTAAATCGCAAAAGGCTACTCACTTAGTAGAGATCTTCTAAGTTTCTGAGAGATGTCGCGGCCTAGGGTGTTTTAAGCTCGATCGGCTAAGCACAGATCGAGGGCTTCAAGTTGCTTCCGGGCCTTGGAGACGATTTTTTCAAGACGTCGGCCAAACAAAGGGTTCCACCGTGGATGGCACTTTAACCAAAACAGTACAAGGCATACTGTAACATGCTCAGATTCCGTCGGGATCGAATGTGGGATTGTAACGAAGCGGATTATGGCAAGTTGCGAGCGATATTCAGATAAACTTCTACTGCAGGTATTCTGCGAACGTAGAAGTCAACCGGAAGCTGAAAAAATCTGTCAAGAATACGGTGGTCATCTCGCAACGATTTGCAGTAAGGAAGTGAACGATTTTGCTGCACGTATGTCTACATTTCAGTTTGTCTGCATCAGTAAAAAAAGAGATAAGAGCACAAACTCCTTGACGTTGTTCTTACGTTCTGGTTCGTCCGGAATTGTAGGAAGTTTTGGGTGTCGGTTCGGTCTCCACTGTGCGTAACCTTGCAGAAGCATGCCGATGCGAAATTCAGTGCTTGAAGGCACAGATCACGACAATTTTGGGTAAATCCGATTAGGTGAAAATATAAAGACAAGATCGAAAATAGTGCGATGAATGTGAAAACATTGCGTGAATCGGTGTCTCCAAAGTGAAAAAAGGCTTCGAAAAACGGTCAAAAAGGGGCTGAACGAGACTGAGACCAGAAAAATGAAGAAGAGTGGGGTGTTTGGAGGAACCACACAATGCTTCTCACTGCGCACGCATGAGTCCTGGTGCGAATAACNAAAAACCCCTAGTAACAGCAAAAATAGCTCACTTTTTTCAGCCTTTCAGTAAAAGCGCAGGGAAAGAACATTGCCTCTTCACTCGGCGATCATCTGAATGTGTGTGGGTTCTAGAACGAATAGTTGCAATCTGTATTGCATCGATCCTCGTCTGACGTGACATCGATCGAGAGGAGGGAAAGCGAATCAAACAGCAGTACGGTTTTCACTATGCCCTAAGCGCCGAGATTGTGGAAGTGAGAGGGTCCCTTCTACCACCCATGGAGGGCGCTGAGTATTCCAACAGGGAGAGCTCAGTAACCCTTTCTATCGTGAGCCGTACCTTCAAAGGCACAGCACACAATAATTTTGAGGCACCCACTTTATTCAAAAAGCGGAAGTATAGGTTGGGAGTAGTTCGTCGATAGTGAAGAAAGCGAGAAAATTCGCCAGATTTGAGAAAAATAAGGTTCCTTCAAAGTAGGAAAAAGGAAGGTTGGACGAGATTGCGACGACAGAAGTAACATGGAAAAGATATTCGGCTGCAGATTTCAGCGGCTGCAATCGCCCAAGGAGCTGACTGCATCAAGTCAGAAGTTTAGAGTGTTTTTCACTGTCGCTTTGTGTCATGACAAGTTGCTTGAGCTTATTACATGGGTTCCCTTGTGAATGGTGCAACCTCTGCAATGCCGGTGATGTTCGTCCGAGGATACGATACAATCCTTGAGCCTTTATGACGCCCTAAGTAGGCCGCTTTCCAACCTGATTGCACCAGTTACGGTATACGAGGGGACCTCACATACCTGAGGGTAAATATCAGAAATCATTTCTATCGTGAGCTCTGGCTTTAATCAACAGTCTACTAGGCATCTCACCCATTACATGAGGCTAGAAGGTCGATTCTCTGACCATATGTGTGGTAACAGTAGTACTTAGCAGAGGAAAACTTTCAACTCCCTTCAAAATAACGTTAAATGGAGACCTAAGTATGCTTCGGAATGCTCATTCGGGTTTTTATCCAGACGAAGCCAATGAGACTTGCGCTATGAGCAATCGGATTTGTCGACCAAGCATATGCTAAGCTTCTCAACAGATACTTTTGTCATATCTCCACTGAAAGGCACAGTTCACGATAAAAAATTTTCTGAGTTCTCTCCCTAGGAATAGCCGGTGGCCTCCAAGGCTAACGGGAAGGATGCTGTCGAGTCCCAAAACTCAAAAGCTAGGGCATAGTGGGAGCCTCTTTAACGGATGGCCCGGAACTCCCGCTCCTCACTCGTGATAGATGTCACGTCAGACGAGTGGCAAGGGGAAGCAGATTGCAATGGTGGTTCTAGGACCCACGCACAATGAGCTGATAGCCGAGTGCTTAGGCGATGTTTTTCCATAGTTTATCCTCTGTGGTTCTTTTTGCTGCTGCAACCCTTCTTCTTATTTTTTGGCTAAAGAAGGTGGGCTGTCCTTCCGGTTACTAGGGTTTCTTTGATAACCTATGCTTATGAGCGAGGGAATTTTTGCTCTCCGTAGTCAGCTGCTCGCACCAAGACCCACACTTGTGCAATGACACACATTGTACGGCTTGTCCAAAAGCCCACTCTTCTTCATTTTTCTGGTCTCATTCTCATCCACCCTTTTTAAAGATTTAGATTTATTGCATGTGAAGAACAACACAAGTTGAAACCCAGCGAACAAAAAGATCAACATTGAGCTTATTGCAACAAAAAGTACTCGCAAAATGGGAAAAGGTAATTGCAGATAAAACTGTGGATAAAACGTGCCAGGTAGCAGAAGCATAGTAAGAAAACTTTACCACTGACCGAGTCCCAAAAAGTCCTCATTTAAGATAACGCCGCACGATGTTTTTGAATTGTATTATACTTTGAGGCATAGCAATTTTTTTAGTTAGCTTCGAATATTCAGCAACCGCCCTTGAAGTGAAGAACCTGGCTCTTTTACTTGTCCTAGGTTTTGGTACGAAAAGCTTGTTTTTCTCTCCTCTCGTAATAGTGCGTCGAATAGTAAAAAAATCATCTTGTTTTTCTCTCCTCTCGTAATAGTGCGTCGAATAGTAAAAAAATCATCAACCTTCACATTAATTTTCCCGGTGAGCATCTTGAAAACGGTTATGAGATCGAGCATTTTCCTCCTGTGAAAAAAAAAAGATTTCTCGAAACCTTGGTTAGCTTTGGAAACACCACGATTCACGCAGTTCCTTCACATTCATCGCACTATTTTCCATCTTGTCTTTCATTTTTCGTCATAATCTGGATTACCCAGGATTATCATGAACTGTGCCTTTAATTAATAATTGATACTGAAGATAGTCAAGACTTCGTAATAATATCGAAAGCTGGTTATGCGACTGTTGCAGTCATGGGTTATGTTTATGAAACTGGAAGAAATAATCCTCGCGTTTGGATCGGAGTTCATTGGAAAGGAAGAGAAAAGTGGTCGTGGACCTGGGAAAGTGGTTCAAACTGTGAGT